CGTAATCATGAGCTCATTTCCTCCGCCCCTCCCCCCCAAATCGTAAAAATAGCACATGCAATCTTTACAACTGATAGCTACGTACTCCAGGCTGGTCCTGGACAAATGTTCTGAGGCTGTTCTGCTCACCAGAACATCTGGAAACCGTCCAGAACTAAAGTGAATCACGCCCTGCAGCAGCGTTTCAGAGTTCTTCAGAACTATTTTTCATCTATTTTTATTTTTACCAGACTCCTACGTCGCGCTTTTGTCGAAACAGGAAGCGAGGCAGTTTGTAAATGCGGTGATGTCCACCATCCAGGGTGTGTGTTGTAGAGAGGTGGCTGTTTTTTTTTCCTCATTCAGCTAAAGTAATCAGGGTTGTGCACAGAGGCTGTGAGGCTGCAGCTAGCTAACATCCCGCCTCCGTAGGGTTCAGGCATTCCTCTAAAATGCTAGCCTCTGCGGTCCAGCCCATAGGGGAGCACATGGAAAATCAGCTCATGGGCTAAAACTGACTCATTGGGATAGAGATAACTATCTCTTACTCCCTGTGTTGTTCCAAACTGACCGGGTCATGTTTAGACAATGTTTCATTTCACCACAGCTAACATGCTGCTAAATGGGTCTCTGTACTCGTTGTAGAAGAGTAAAGAGAAAGGTGGCAGATACATGTGGACAGAAATGATCCCTGAAATTAGTTGAAACTCCATGCTAATAATGAGTAGAAACTGAATGAAAATGAACCAATGAAAATCAGAAAAATGCCTTTGAATTGTGGTTTAAAAAATGAAAAAACTAGTGAAACAGGGCAGGTGAAAAACAATGGTGCCACTAGAAAATACTACTACTATACTATACTATACTATACTACTACTATAAAATACTTTGACACAGGGGCATGTCAAAGTAAGGGCGGCCATCTTATTTGCATCCCAGGTGTATTCAAATTGACTTTGTGTCGGGTTACTGTGCTGTTTGCTAACAGTGTGCGTCACTCTGAACATGGACCACAAAAAAAATGAAAGCAGAGAGCTGTCTCTGAAGATTAAAAAGAACATACATAAGCACGTTACAGGTGAGGGCTATAGGTCTCAGTCACAGCTCATAGATCATCCAACAGGATAATGACCCAAACACAAAGCTAAAAACAGCCGTAACTGAGCAAAATTCCAACTAACGGTCACAGAAACCGTCTGATTGCACAAAAGTTGCCTCAAAAGGTTGCGCAACAACATGTGAAGTTACAGGTACAATCATTCTGGCTTGCTTCAATATTCTGTTTTTTAAATTGATCCTGTTGAACAACAATTTGTTGGTTCATTTTCAGGGACTTTTGTCAGTTTGAGGGGGTTTCGGTGACCACTCTGAGGGGACGCTCTGTCCTGGTGTGTATCAGGCTGACCGCCTCACACTGTGGACAGTTCTAACCGTTACATAACCCGGGCCTCAGTGGAGTCCAGACCAGTGGAGCAACAAAACACTCTGTTTGCCTTCAGTTCACACCAGCCAAGTTCCTACACCGGGTGGCTTTATTTTGCTTTCTTCACTTAAAAGGCAAACATGTCTCTTTTTCTGCTCTTTATCTCAGCTCAGTTCCCTCCGTGTGCTTTACTAAAAGCTTTGGAACAGAATGTTCCGTCCTGTTTTTCTCTCAGTGTAGTTTTAGTGTTTCATGCTAGGTGTGATCAGCTATGTGCAAAAGTGGCAGATCAGAGGGCACCACCAAATAATACTAAAGCCTTTAGAACCAGTAGAGTCCACTTCTCTGATGGGATATATTACACTGTGTATGTTTCAGTGAATAGTGGAGCTACAGGCTAGCATTGCTCAGTAAAAGCTGACGGTAAGACCAGATCTTTTCAGGGACATTCATGCATTTTTCAGCTATGCAAAACCTGATTCTGGACATATTTCAAACAGGTGGCAGAGCAGGAAGAAACATTCTTCAGGACAAGAAAAAAGAAAATCTTCTTTCTCTCCATTTTCTTCCTCTTCAAAATCCTAGATACCACCTAAATATATAAGAATTCATAAGGTAAACATTAATTTCAGTGCTTTAAAAAAGGAAAAAAGATGTGTTATAAAATCCGAAGCTATTTAAAAAAACACTATATATCTGCATATATGTACATCTCTAAATGAGTTTATGTGCGCTATTGAATGGTAGCTTAAGAGAAACTTTTGTTCTATGAAAATCCCTCTGAGTCTGTTAACTTGCTTTGAAGACTCAATTAAGTTTTTCTGTGAAAAACCTTGCCTTTGCACTCCTTCACAAACACACACACACACACACACATATATATATGTATATATGTATAGAAGTATGGCCCAAATTCTCTAACTCTCCTTTATATTATTTATAATCAATTACTAAAGCATTGATCCATGTGCATTAAATAATTTGAGAGAGCCAATAACAAACTAAAAAGGCCTTTGTCTTCCTCCGGTCTGCCTTGCACTGATGTGTTGCTTGCTTGGCATTTTGGAAAGTGGCTTCTGCATAATTTCTGCCAAAAAGTACCGGTTAAAAGACTTCCTGGCCTGTGGCCGCCTCCATCTTTGCAGGAGGCTGAAAGAGGGGCAGTTTGTTTTACTCATTCAGCTAAAACCAAACCTGAGAACTGACGTTTATGTGGGATGTATTATACGTTAAAACACCATGTGATTTGATCTATTCTCCATATATCTTTTTTCTGCCGTTGCTATTCCTTTGGGAACACAACACAAAGGCTCTTGGTTCCACTCCATGGAGGAGTTAGGAGTGTGCATGATGCCAGAGAGAAGGTTTCTCTCTGGGTCCAAAAGAGAGAAAAGAAAAAGGCTCTAAGTTTGCTTACCGGAGTGAATATGTTCTAAATCTAAGTTAATCTTTAACATAGTTGTTGTAACTGTCCTCTCTATTTTTTTCAGTGTGTTATCTAAAGTGTCCAGTTGTGTTGGGACAGCCGGTCAAACTCTGCTGTACTCTGCACATGTGGTCAATAAAGTGATTTCTAATTCTGATTCTGATTTATTTGACAGTGTCTTTGTGAGCGTTAGGAACACTGTGTGCCGGGGGGGGGGGTATAACGGATTACCAACAGAGACGGACCGAGCATGTTAAGCAGATGACCTTTTCAGGTTCCTTTGTGTGTGTGTGTGCGTGTGCGTGCGTGTGTGTGTGTGTGTGCGTGTATTCTAACTCCTCTCTCTAACCCTAATCCTGGCCCAGAAGGAACGGGCAGGTTGCTCAGAGCTTCAAAGTTCTGCGCTTCGTCAAGCTGCGGAAACACACGCAGTGAGCTGCGACCAGACCGGAAACCAGGACGGAGGACCTTCAAAATAAACCACTTTGGCTCGTTTTGGCCAATGCGTTGGCGGCTTGTGAACTAGTTGGGAAAAAAAGAGGCCAGGTGGTAGAAAGAATGCATGAGTGCAGTCATCAAAAGCCAAAAGGCGATGAAATAAAATGGGACAGAAAAATCAACGTGTCTAATGAATGATGTGATACATATTCATGCAAATGTATTTATGTGGGTGCTAACAAATGCCTCCGTAACTGAACTTTGCTGAAGTGTGTTTAACCTTTTTCCTAACTGGCTCTTCTCCTCTTCATCCTCAGCAGATCATCGGTTTCCCCGATGATCTGCCTTTAAAAGCTCACAGTGACAAGAACTTCTGCATTGGAACTTGAAGGCATTTTCACAGGGGAATAGTCTAAATGAGCAGGTGTAGAAATCAAAGAAACCCCCAGGGCCCAAGCTGAACCTTGAACCGTGAAAACTTGAACCTCCTTAAGGACGACTAATATCAAACCAGGACCTGGGCTCAGTTTCCTGGCCCTGCTTTGACCCTAGAGATGGACTAAAAAATAACTGTTTTTGTAAACGTTAAGCTTTAAAAGCATGAAAAATCATTTTAAAATAAGATATTTATTTCTCAACTAATCGTGTCTTTTCATATCGAATTTTTCAAACTGTTTTTCAACGGCTTCACTACAAAATAACAGACATGTAACGACATATTTTCTTACAGTAGGACGTTTTGTTCTATATTTAAACTCGCTCTAAACGTTTATCATGCTTTAGCAGTAAAGCACGAGGCCGCTGGTCGCGTGGACGTTTTACTATCTGAATAAAAGAGGAAAGAAAAAGGAGCTGTCCACGCGGCGTGGCCGTTACGTCACAAGCAACGCATCTTATTTTGAAATCTCCCGGAAACGCTTCGTCTGGGCTTCGGCAGCTTGATGGCGGCGGCTGTCTAGCGGCGTCCGGTCCTCCTCTCTTCTCCTCACTCCTCCGTGGAAATGCCGGCCGCCGGCAGCCTCCCGGGCCGCGGACCGGCCGCCCCCCCCCCCGCCTCTCTCCCGCCCCCCTCCCGCCGCTGAGCCCCGGTCCTAAAATGGCGTTTTCCGGCCGTGACCTTGCGCCAGAGGACTGATTTCTGTGCGGATGGATTTACGTCTCGGCGCACGCCGGTGGAACGGGACGTAGACCAAAAGCTGCGGGACCAGAAGCCGGGGGGGGGGGGGGGGGGGGGGGGCAGAAACCGTCCCGGCCTGACCCACATAGCGCCCAGCCTCAGGGACCCGCTCCCGGACCTCTCTGCCCTCTGCCTGGACACACCGGACAGTGACTGATGCGCTGTCCAGCCTCCTGCCGCAGGGATAAGGCACGCGCGCCTGTTTGCTGCTGCGCAACTATGCACGAGAGGACACGTGAATGTGCAAATGATTGACCGGAGGTCCTATGCAAAAGAAGGGAAAAGGCTGATAAGCTTTGCACGCCGAGGGTTTTTGCTGACCTTTGGGATCCTCTGAGGGGATCAAAGTGGAAACCAAAAGAAAAAAACTAACAAACCCAAGAGGCCTGAGTGGTCAGTTCCCCCCCTGAGTGGCCCCGGACTGCCCACTGGCCCTGGTTCTTAGCTCCTGGGGCCAGAATCCTCCTGCTCCGTGATCGGAAAAGTGCAATAAGAGCTCGAGTGTTTGACCGGTAGCTGCTTTTTACCGTCCATCACCCCGGGAAACCGTCTTCACGATGCTTCTGAACTGCGGCCAGCCGCTGCCCCTGTTGGCGCACACCGACGTGCCCCCCCGGGTCATCGAGAACTTCATCCTGACCGGCTACCGCTTCCCCAACTACAGCCTGAGGGAGTGCCTGCTGTCGGCGTTCCGGCCCACCAACGAAACCGGCAACTTCTGGACCCACTTCCTCCCCGTCTTCGTCTTCCTCTACTACTTCGTGGAGGTGTTCGGCTGGGAGCGCGCCCCGGACAGCGGCGCGCCCTTCTTCTACCCGCTGTGGAACTACTTCATCGGGGTCTTCTGCCTGCTCATGGCCAGCAGCATGGCCCACCTGCTCAACTCCATGTCCCTGGTGGTGCGGGAGGTGTGCTTCTTCGTGGACTACGGCACCATCAGCGCCTACACCGTGGGCTCCTCGCTGGCCTACTACTACTACATCCACCCCCGGGCCGGGATCGTGGAGCCCGGAGGACCTCGGGGGTCGCCGGACTTCAGCCTGTTCTTCGATAGCCTCTACATCCCGTCGGCCTGCGTGGTGGCCATCATCTGCGTGCTGTCCTGCTGCAACACCCGCCAGCGGTGGCGGGAGCACCGCTACGTCATCCGCACGCTGGTCTTCCTGCTGCCCTTCCTGGTCTCGTCCTCGCCGGTGTTCTACCGCCTGCTCCTCTGCCGCTCGCCCTGCGCCGCCGGCACGCCGGGCTACTTCTACCGCCACTGCCTGTGGCTGCTGGTGTCGGCGCTCTTCAACATCAGCAAGCTGCCCGAGCGGCTGGCCCCCGGCCGCTTCGACATCTGGGGCCACAGCCACCAGTGGTTCCACTGCTGCACCTTCCTGTCCATCCTGGACGAGCTGCACATGATCAAGGCCGAGGTGAGGGCCATCCTGCTGGACCCGGACCTGGGCCTGCCGCCCGCCGGCCCCGCCCGCCTGCCCGGCCCCACCGTGGCCTCCACCTACGGCGTGATGCTCTTCCTCCAGACCACCATCGTCTCCATCATCGCGGGCTTCTCGTGGCGCGCCAACCGGATCTACGGGCCCCTGAGGGACCAGCTAGAGAAGCAGCACCCCGAGAGGAACCCCAAAGCCCACCTGTCCTAAAAGAACCGTTTTCTGGGACCAGCCTAACCTTGATCGGAAAGGCTGGTCCTCACATTCCCAGAGCCATGCCACCATAAAAGAACCACAAGAAAACAGCAATCCCTGTCTGTCCCAGTCTCTCGAATCCAGCTCTGGAGGGTTCTCAAGCTTCTATGAGGAAGAAGGTCTATTCCTGTTGTCTTGATGCGTAGACATCAGAAGTCTTTGCTGGTTTTTCTCCTTCCCCGGAGCTGCTCTGGCAGGTTGCAACAGGACGTCTGGGTGGGGGAGACATCTACCTCTCTGGGCTGTACACTGGAGGACAGAGGAATGGTGTTGCTACCTATCAGAAAGCATGTAACAACTCGTTCTCTATAGAGAGAAACAGTGGAAAAGTCGTCCACTGTCAGGTCCTAATTTCTGCTCCACCTTTGACTCTAGCCAGCATCGTTCCAGTGTCCTCTCCTGTGGAAAGCTGAAGCCATTAGTCTGAGCTGAGTTCATCGGCCGGTAGGACTCCGTCCGGCGCTCTCTTCCTCTGATTGTGGGGGCCGTGCGGTACAGGAATGCTCGTTTCCTCTTTCTCAAGCCCTGCGGCGGGAAGTAGGGCAGGGCGGCAGAAATAGCCGGGGCCTCACAGCAAAGCACTTTCAACTCGCTCTGTCATTAACAAGCCATGCCACTTTCAAAACTAACAAAGATGGACGCTGTTTCGGACTAGATTCCGACGTCCTGCTGGTTAGCTGTTGAGTTATTGGATGTAGAGTGTATTCGTGGTGCTGGAATGCTTTTCCCACTCTGGACCGGTCATGTTCACAGTGCTAAAAGCTGAACGTGGGCTAAACTTCAGCCGGCCTGAGCTTTGTGGTGAACAGAGGAGGGTTAGACGGATATTTTTGGTGGTTGAGGACAGGCCGAGCGGGGGCTAAGGGACGGCCTACGCTGCCTAAGGCTGGCTGCTGCTGACCCGGGTAAAGCCATAGCTGAACAGCACAACTGTAGTTCCCCACAGGCAGGAACCGAGAGGTTCCTGACCCCCTCATCGCCACCGTGTTGAAGCCATAGATTTCTGAGTTTTCTATTCAGTTATCATTTAATCGATACTCTTTCTTAGTGATCAATAATATTAAATGAAAATGTCAGTTTTGGCTGATCTAAAAAAAAAAAGAAACTCTTGGAAATCAATTGAAAAGGAGCATGAGACCATCAAGTGTCATCAGATATTTTCTTATTTTAGTGGGATGATCTCCAGTCCTCGTGAATATGAGGATTCTATGATCGGAATTCTATGATGGGATGCGATGGGTTTATAGAGAGTGAATGAGGGAGCTTTAGTTTTTTAGCTTCTAGCTGCATGACACAAGGTCTTTCCTTGTTGCTGGCAATATTTCTGTCCTGTCTGTGCTGTCAGAGTCGGTTTAGTGTTTAAAGGTTAGGGCTGCTATTTTTTGTATTCAGTCACATCTGTGTACGCACAACAGTACAAAGGAGGGAAGAGAGACGACGTTAGCCTGCTAAGCTAACAGACAATGAGGTGTGAAACAAACAGCATTACTTTGGGACTAGAGCCTTATATTTGTTTAAAAGATTACTTGCAATTTAGTTCGATTTTGAGCATTTTTCCGTCAGCTCCAGCCTCTGCATGCTGCTGTTATCTGCACATCTGCACACATCTGCACACATCTGCACACATCTGCACACATCTGCACACATCTGCAGCCCCTTTACCCTCTGCAGTCCCATTGTCGTCGGAGGTAACATTCTGAAAGGCCTACTTGTTTGTCAAGCATGTTGAAAACATCATGGTGTTTTTTTTGTTTGTGGATAGTTGTCTCATTTTAGAAATTGTAGGCAAAAATATGCACATGCAACTGCGTTGACTTGCACACCCGAAAGAGAGGAGAAAATGGAAGCTGTGATGTTGCACATGTTGGACTGAGGAATGAGATGAGTCATACTGAGTGGTGCACTTTAAAGCTGACGAAAAGCTCCTAAAGATGTTCCTTTACGCCTTGTTTCCATATGTTATTTTATTTGAAAGTCAACCAGCGTCCATTGGAAACTGTAAGGTTCCTTATTTGAGTTTTAGTAGTAGTTTTATACATAGCTAATTAATAAAAGATTACAAAAGTCATTTGAAAAAAGTAATCTCATGGCTTTTGACTGAGGAAGTAAACAAGTTAAGAAAGGCCAATCCAATTGTTTGTCCAGTAATTATCCATTTCAGTCCAATTCAATACCAACTCTTTCTCTGATCCTGTCGTTTTAATCAAGTTAACAGATAATTGTGAGTTTTTTGGAGGGATTTTCTGTGTTCCAGCCCAAAAGAAAATAAATGGGAAGCAGGATGAGATAAGAAATAGGTAGATGTTTGCCTGTACTGTATGTCTTTAGAGTTATTGTGAACTTTCAGTGAGACCTAACAGAACCTTTTTACTTAAAGTAGTCTGTCCATTTTCTGGCCCGTGTAAAGGTCAGCCCTGCAGTACTGTATTCTGGTGAAAGCTTTCAGGCTGAAGTAGTGCTCTGTAAGGGGAACCCGGCGGGAGTGGTCAGATGCTGAAGCACCGACCGCTGAAGCGATGTTTCTACCTCAACACCGCGTTTGTGTCCATCACTCTATGGCTGAGAAGAACCATCGTCCAGAACCCCCCCCCCCCTCTCCAGACTTGAACCTATTAATGTTTGAGTAGTATGTGAATGTTAGACTTACTGACTGCTGTCTTACCTAGTGATGCACTCAGGGGTGACTCTAGAGCAACTAATCTATTATTTAGTCACATTTAATTATGAAAAACTAGAGGAGGGTCATTATAATGTTTGGTGTTTGTTCCAGCTGAAAAAGGGAGAACCCTCTTCCATTATTCTGACTGACTAATCAAATGCACTTCAGATCTGTTTCATTTGAGTTCCATTGAATAAATCATGAAAAAAAAACAGTTTGGAATGTGTTTTTTTTTTAAACTTGCAAGTACAGCATTAACAGTTACAAAAGTATATGGAAAGTTTTCATTGTGAAAAATGTAAGACTGATCAGAAATTAGTTATTAAATCACAATAGATTTGTGAAAATCACATTTTTGATTTGTTTGTGTATGAATATAATAAAGTTGTCATATTAATTACACAGGAACAGTATGTACACATATTGGCTTCAGCATGATGGTCCTTTATCTACCAATGTCCAGTATTCAAAACCAAACAAATAGTTCAGATGTGCTTCCTGCTAAATTTTACAGCCATGGAGGTCTTTTGCAGACATTTTGAACATTAATGAAGACGGATAGCCTGGTCAAGATAACCTTCAAATGACAGAAAAACCAACAGACAGAAGTTCAAAGGGGCATCTTTACATAAAAGTCTGGTTTAAATTGAATTGAACTATAGTAAAAGTGTAATTTTAATATTTTCCTGCACTCCTCGTGGTCCTTTATGACAACAATACTCATTCCTTTTGTTATTTTTGTATACTTCTTATACTTATAGGATCATTCTGAACATTAACTACAGAATAACGTATTTCTCTGGGTGCATTTTGTATGTCAATGAAAATGTAATTGTCTGTTAAAACAGAGGCTACTTTTATATTTCTGGCTTATTTTGTAATAGAAAGAGAGATGCATTCATTCTAACTTCATTTTTCTCTTTAAAGTTAGTAATAGATTTACTCATGAAGCCAACACCATGGTAATCTAGCATCTCCAACCTGAAGCCCAACCAACAAGACTCTTTATGTCCAACACGTGGAGATGGGACTTCAGTTCTGTCCTATGCCAACGTGAAGGAGACTCACAGGACCAGGTCTATTCCACCTCTGGGTAAATCTGATCACAACAGAATCAGAAAACCAAACAGAAAAGCAGCACGAACCCCTCACTGCAGCTGTCAGCACAGTGGGGGAGGGATGATGATACGGGCTGGCTCTCCGAAAACAGGATCTGGGAGTCTACCATGAACTGCCCTGGACGCCAAACTGTTCCAGGTAGAAATCTGTCTGAACGCTGGAGGAAAATCAGGGTTACAATCATCCAGACCTCAGTCTGACAACAGTGTTAGCATAATGCAGCAAACGGTTTCCACAGGTGACTGCTTCTAAAAAAAACGCTATTAGTTTCCACACATCTATTCAAAGGTTCTTACAACCCAGTTTTGTCTTTGAATAAAATATCCATCCATTCACCCATTATCTGTCCAACTTAATACCCCAGCACATCCCATCTTATGTCAGCAGAGAGGCGGGGGTCACACAGAGACACACAACCACACACATTCACTTCCCAGGAGCAGTTTAGAGTGTCCAGTCAACCTAACATGCAGGTTTTGGACGGTGGAGTATCTGGACAGAACCCACACAGACACAGGAGAACAGACTCCACCCAGAAAGCTCCTGAATGAGTAATGAAGGTGGAAAATTAGTGTTGATCCGATTTCACGTTGACCTACTTTCACAACCTGTTAAGAACCATAGGATTTTCATTGTATAGGCAAATTTGCAAAGCATTCAAATCTGAAAAAACAGGGCACGTAGTTTCTGTCATGTTTTTCCTAAAGACATGAACTACTAGCATGGTTTACCAGAACCAAATGGAAATTCAGCACTCAGCTTTTCGGCATCATGCAGACACCCCTGCTCTGATTGGGTAACAGCCAGAGTTTCAACTGAGATCAGGTGGGAACTTGCATGCTCAGATTCTCTCTACAGGAGGCTGGAAACAATCACAACCTGCATAATTCCAACAGGAAGAGCTGCAGGACGCTCAGATCTGGATGACTGAGGAGGATCTCAGGACGTAGAGTCTGAGCCAGGTCACCGGTCATCCCAAAGGCCCCGGACAGCATCAGGCGCCCCCCTCACACCTGTTCAGACCGGAAACGTCCAGTCTTTCAGGGTCACTTACGATCAGAGTTCTACGATGTTGTTTAAAGATGTTGTACCACAACAAAAAGCCAAAGGGATGCACAAACATTCTAGAAGTCAATATCAATATCAAAAATTTGACACTCACCCAGATAAATAGTACCAAGATTCACCCTGTAACAGGAGTAGATGTAGTCAGCCTATCACTGGCAAAGGATTAAGAATGAATGCAGGTAGAGAGGATGTAGGTGGTGATGGTATCAGGCGTCCATCTTTGTTTTCACCTGAACGCCAGCTCCTACTGCGATACTTTGTTTTAATTTATTTTGTATTTTTGTCTTGGTCAGTGTTAAAACTTAGAACAGGGTTAATAAAAAAAAGGATATCCTCCCATCAACCCAGTTTGTTAGTCATGAATAATCACTACAGGCTCACAAACACTTTGAATATATGTTGCTAAATCTAAACTTAGAAGAACATTTGGCCCCATCGCCTGAGAGCAAGATGGTTCCTGGTGGGAACGTCAGATGGAGCCTGTCCGTGTGGATTTACAGGTTCTCTCTGTGTGTGCAGGGACTCTGGTACCGGTCACTGCAGTGGACGATACCACTTCCTGCTCATGGGACTGTTAACCCGATTCTTTAGTTGGAAACCGGAGAGTAAACCAGAGTACATCAAGAGTAAAAAATGGACATTTATTGGGTCACAGGTAAAGTATTTCAGCAGTGGGCTCTAACAGACAAAAACCTCTCTCAGGGTCTCCGTCGGCAAAGAGCCCTGAGATCTGGGGGTGATGGGTCTTTGTCTCAAAAGAAGGACTGGACACAACCAAGTCCTATTGGTTAGTTACTTCTAAGATTAACAAGCCAGGTCCTAATTCATGTTGATGACATTGGAATGTGGTACCAAATGATGTGTGTGTTTGTGTTGACTTAAAGACGTGGATCTAATGCAACAGAGAAAGAAAAGGAAAGAAAGAAAAAGAGAGAGAAAAGAGAGTCTGTGGACACAGCCAGAGACTTCAACACAAAATATAGTTATAAAAGAAAACAATCAGTAATCTACATAGATCATGTGATAGCATACTATGCTAAAGTGAGTATTTTTAGCCAAATCCTAACAGGACCTTGGCTCTGACTGGACCCAGGGGCTGCCTCTCGGCTTTTACAAATGTCAACCTGAAAGAGCTGAACTTTCCTCCGGCTGATGCTTCCACGGTTCTAAAGCTTCTAAAGCTGGATGTGAATTGGTAGAGTTTAGCCGTCCCATTCCCTGATGCCCATCGGTCTGCTGTGGGAGTACCGATGACCACCCAGTTCAGTGGGCAAGAATCCAGGCCGCTGCATGTGTGGATCTACACTCTTCTTCTGAGCAACATACTCATTCTTGAAACATTGTTCGATATTGCAAATGTCTGCATTGTGTTTTTAATGACATTTTCTACAGCATCCTACTTTTTCATGACATTAGAGACCAACACTTCCTCTGAGGACACAATTGTAGGATTGAATAGGTCTTAGAATGTAAATTCAATACAGGTCTTCCCTGACCAGAGGACTTTAACTTATCCCCATGAGCTTATTTTCATCAGTGTGCCAGTGAACAATGAGCGGAACTGCGCAGCTTTCAGAACCCAGTTCCAGTTTAGAGGAGGATGCTTTGCTCAGCTTTGCAGTGCAGAGATAGATTTCTTGGAACTCGGGGGGTAGGGAGGGGCAGAAGAGCCATCTCTGCTGATAAGCAGAGGCATAGCAGCCTCCGTTTGGCTTCAGGGTGTTTTCCTGAATGCTAAAGCTGCAGTCCATTCATTAGACATGAAGTCTTGGTTGGTGTCTCTAAATGAGACAGACACACCAAAGAAAGCCAAATATGGAGGTTGCTGTTTTTTTCTTCCCCCTCAAATTGATGTTCTGATTCGTCACAATCGGTGCTAAAAAATACCTTCAGAACGGTGGGAGTGCTTTCATTTAGAGCAGGGAGGAGATGTAGAATCATACAACATCTAATGTTGGACCAAAGGTCTGCATTTCTGTTTTAGTCTGGTTCAGTCTATTAGTCTGTGTCTCTGGATGAAACAACAGGGTCAACAGGAAGCTGCATCTGAGATAAGCCAGCCAACCACAAAGCCTCATTTCCCCTCATAAGTCACATGTTCCAACAATTGTTACTCGCCTTCAATGTTTCCGAGATGACACACATCCACTCTCAGTGTGCATTCAGCCAGCTCCCTTTGAGGAAGTAAAGAACTTCTGCATGAAGTACTGAATGAAAACAGAAGTAAATAAGTCTCGCAAGCCATTATAGACTACACTGAGAATTCATTCTTGTTTATATTAGACTACTAAAATGAATGAACTCAAATAAAAATTCAATTAGGAATACAGTTTTAATGATTTTATTAGTAACCTTGTTTAATTCGACTTGATTACAACAGAACCATTGAAACAAAAGACGCTGCCTGTCAGACATTCTAATAAACACAAATTGGCAATTAAGGACAAAACAGAGACCACGTCAATTTATCAGAATCGGAGCACATGATTAATGCAGCAAACTCAGCTCCACCGGGGGCTCTGTGGGGCCCTCTGCTGTGTGGAGAGAATACTTTCCAGAGCCTGCAGCCCAAAACAGACGGCCGCACACCGCTGGTCCCGGGCCAAGAATGCACTTCTAAATCTTAATGCGCCTCTTGTTTTCAGAGAATCACCGGCCTAGCAGCGTCATGGTTCCCCACGTGCAGCTGTTATTCTCAGGAGGACCAGGACAGTCCTCCTCCTACAGGCTAAGTGCTTAGTCTGTTCTTTACTGTGCAAAAACACCCAAAAGAAACCGAAAATCCGACAGGGGACCAGACCATAAGGCATGCATCCCACAGTCTGATTTATCTCTTTATGTAATATTAAAAAAAATAAAAAATCCTCTTCTTTGAGGTGTGAAACCAGCACTGATCATTTTGTGGGACAGTATCTTCTTCTTCTCAGCCTTTTTTGGTGCATTACTGCCACCTGCCAGCCCGTGGGTTCATGCGCTGGAATGTGAGACGTCTCATTTGCTGTTGATCACGGCAAATAAGAAAGCAGGCAAAAAAAATAAACCTGTCTCTGAACACAATGATTAAGGTAGAAATTAAGGCTTCCAAAAAATAAGGAAACGTTAGAGGACGGGAAACGGCTCGGTTACATACATCAGTTCCCTGCAAATGACTATCTTCCAAATATGGAGAGATGATTGGATGATTCTCTGTTTTCCTCTCAGCTACATCTGGCATAAAACAGCTATGCCCCAGTAGTGTGAAATGAGAAATGTGAAGTTATTAATGTTAGTTTTCGGACATCTTGCGGATCATGTAGTTGAGGATTCCTCCGTGCTGGAAGTAGGTCAGCTCTACGTCCGTGTCGAACCTCATGCGCACCTGGAACGTTTTCCCCGTGTCCAGCTGTGTGGGCAGGAAGAGAGCCGGTCAGGCCAAACGCCCCCCCCCCCCCGGCAGCAGCGCGCCCAGACCGGTGCTCACCTGCACGTGCACCAGGGCGCGGGGCGCCAGCGGCGCGGGGATGCTGACGGAGTAGCGCTCCCGGCCCGTCAGGCCCAGGCCCTCCGCCGAGTCTCCCGGCAGGAACTCCAGCGGGATCACGCCCATGCCCACCAGGTTGCTGCGGTGGATCCGCTCGTAGCTTTCCGCCAGCACCGCCTTGATGCCCTGCACCAATCACAGCCTCCGTCAGCAAACGGGCCCTGTGCCAGGAGCAGCTCCCGGCCCAGGGCCCACAGTGGGACCGTTACGGTAAAGACGAGGCCAGGGATCAGAGACTCGGTGAGGCTCACCAGTAGGAAGGGGCCTTTGGCGGCCCAGTCTCTGGAGCTCCCGGAGCCGTACTCCTTCCCTGCCAGAACCAACAGCGGGACATTGGACTGCCGGTAGCGCTCCGCAGCATCAAACACGTCCAGCTGGAAGAGAGAGGGGGCAGCTACGGGGGTCACACGATGGGCAGGGGCTTAACGGCTAGTAGCCGCATCAGTGCTCAACATTTACCAACACAACACAAATCAAATAAACTGAACATATTCAGAACACCGCCTGGTTCCGACTGTAGCGATTTCTGGCAGCACCGCCTGAATCCACCTCAGTCTCCACAGGTTCTCGTGGCATTTTAAACTGAGTCACTGTCAGATGGCGGAGGCAGAGCGGCCTCACCGTCTCTCCGGACGGCAGGTGCACGGTCTGCGGCGCCTGCTTGTTGAGGAACTTGTTGAAGAGCCGGATGTTGGCGAAGGTCCCTCTGGCCATGACGGCGTCGTTTCCCCGACGGGAGCCGTACGAGTTGTAGTCCCGAGCGACCAACCTGTCGAAACACACACGCTTTTAGACCCCAGGAACCGTCTCTCATTTGGTAGGTGGAGGTACAGGAGAGTCGGAGTCTGATAGGGTGGATGCTTCTGAAGTTAAATCTCATTAATGCTTTTCCTAGCAGACTGGCAGAGTGATAATGTTTATGTCTCTGAATAAAGCAGATGCTTTTTCTCCAAAGACCTCAGGTACATTACAGTTAGCATCAAAGCTAGCAATAAGCTACTTAGACTGGTCAGACTCTGCCAGAGGCACCAGTGGTGACGGTGACAGATGGAGGGCAGAAATTGGGCAGATGGGAAGGCTTACAGGGTAACCCGAGCTCCCATTTGGAGCCGGAGTATCAGCTACCATGGTTACTAACAAAAAATTATCGATATCCGCATTAGGATGGTGAGGGTCAATGGTTACTAACAGAAGAGTTTAAGGCTCCATTCACACTGCAGCCTGACGTGAAACCAAATCCATTTTTTTGTGAATTCTGAATTTCTCTGCCTGGTCGTTCTCATTTCCGAATGGGTTTGATTTGTGCGTGATATCCAGAGTGAACGGCAAACTAAGCCAACAGTGTCCTGCATGTGCAGCAGAGCATGCTGGGACATCACATGTGGGAGCTGCTCTGGGTTTGAGGTCCAGCTCTTCATAACATGGACACGGCTTTGTTTGGTTGAGTCTTTAGGCTCCTTATACGTGAACCAGAGGCTCCTTATTTTTCTTTAGTATTGGAGCCAGGAACTTTTATGCCCACACTCAGCCATTTCTTAGGAAAATGCTAACAAAATCTCCTGGTTCTGATAAGACCCCTGGAGTCTGGCCTGGATAGAGTTAGATAGAGTTATACTAAATAACTCATCAGTTATGCTTTCTGTCCTCTGACCGTTCTCTACATTATCATCTGTGATGGTGGTTGTTTTTCTTTGGCTTAGCGGGACCCTGTAAAGTGGCTTTTGTGGAGTATCAATGACCTGCAATTGGGATGAAGGTGACCTGGCTGTACAGACTCAGGTCACATTTGAAAAGATCTGATACATATGGGATTCAGGACCACATATCCAGGCGGCCTGGGTCACATATCAGATAATCCAATCTGGGTTCGTCAGACTGTCATGAAAAGATCGGATTTAGAAAGAAAAGGACAAAAAAGTGGTATTTGGGTCACTTCAGGCTGCAGTTTGGACGTAGCCTACGTCTGTTTCAAGGCCCACAGTAAACTTTAACATCACCAGGCTCTGCAATGTTAAAGAAAAATCTCTGAATTGTGGATCTACTCGCGTATCTGAGCCACAGAACAAAAGCTGACCAGGAAAGGCTGTTTTGTAACCGGTAGCTGGCAGCTGACGGGATGCAGACAGAACCTGTCACCCTCTCAGAACTGCCAGAGACTCTCTAGCTCAGGCTGCCACGTTCACCTTTACAGCTGAACGGTGGCTGGAAGCTGCCGTTTGGAATCTTTAGACATGTGCTTTTAGGAGGACTGACACATCAGGCAGGGAATAAGGGAACGAGAACTGAACCCACTACACAACATTTCCCACACATTTCTCAGAATAAAATTCAGTCTCAGTCAGGATTGAGGCTGACTGGCAGCTGTAGTTTTAGGATGACATCTTTGGCTGCTTTTCATTCGACTGCTAAACAGAAATTCCTCAGAATGGAGGCTGGGGGGCGGCTCACCCTCTGTCGGTGAGGTAGCGGGCTGCCGGGCTGTTCCTGGCTATGTTTCCTGCGGGAGAGATGTGGTCTGTGGTGACGGAGTCTCCCAGGTTCAGCAGCACGTAGGCGTCCCTTATGGACTGCGGGGGCTGCAGCTGCATGGTCTGCACGAAGACAAGCTCACATGGAACACAAGCAGGAGCACCAAGAAGAACCAAAAACAGTCCAGTTCTGGAATGAAACCACCTGATTTCAATCAAGAATCGAAAAAACATACATATACATTTCTGCTTCCCTTACGCCTGCAGCCAACAGTAATCACATGGCAGCTAAAGCTGTGTAGCACATGGGATTTTCCTTCACATCCAACACCATCGTACTTTAGCCTGCACCTCTCGCTAAGAAGATGGGGTTTCCACATGGAAGAAGTAAGCTACCATTCAGGAGATTCAGAAGAATTCCTTTCTAAGCCCATCCACTCCTCTTAGGTACTCATTTTACATCTAAAATGAACACATTATTTTAGCCTAAAGATTTTTTCCAGTTCCATCTAATTTCTCCCGTACAGTCCCTGATGTCGCTGTCCCACTGGAGCAGTAGCCCTAACTGAGGCAGTTTGGAAAAGAGTAACAGAAGGCGTAATACTGACCAATCCATCGAAAAACGGCGGTGACTTGATATAAGTGGATTTGGCATCCCAAGTATACAGCTTATCAGAGGGAGCCACCAGAGAGTTCCAGCGTTCGTTCACTTTCTGCGACAACAAATATCATCAAGACACAAAGACATGACTTCCCATCACACGGCGTCAACAGATGTAAAGACCCATACCACTGAGGCTTACCTCGATCTTCTCATAAACTTCCTTGAACATGGATGGAATGACAAACGTTCTCTCCACAGCCTGGATCTCCTCCCGTGTAGGCCAGATGTCCTTCAGGAAGACCTCGTTACCCTCTGAGTTAATGGCTACAGGATGGAGGAAATGCAACATCTGAATAGATCAAAGAAGCCTCTGCCCTTTCATAAGTAAATACATCTAACATTGTCACATGTGCAAATTAGATTAGTACAGCTGTTAGACAGCATGTTGGTCTCCACGTAAAGAGAACATTGATCCATTGAGGCATGTATGCAGCTTTTCCATTGGCCTTTTATGGGTCTACTGGCCTCGGCTTCGGTGGTTTTCTATCACAATTGAGATCATAGCAGTCCGTTAAGTTCTGAGTCAGTCAGCAATCTGCCCAACTCAGTCTGCTTGGAATCCTGTAAATGCTCAAATGTAATTTGTTAGGGGGTGCCGCCACGTTCTGGATCATTAGAGGAGGTTCCGCAGTACAGACTGGGAGACCCATCAGGAGAGCGTTGCTAGAGTCCAGGTGGGAGATGACCACAGACTGCACCAGGAGCTGGCTGGCATGTTGGGTTAGGTATGGATCCTTCTTTTGTTTAATGATATGACGCGACACGAATGAGCAACAGTAGCAAGATGGTGTTTAAAGGTCACCTGGTCATCAGTCATGGCACCCAAGTTTCTGGCTGCCTTTGACGGAGATAGAGACAAAGATTCAGTTTGGATGTGAACCCTCAGGTTTATGGTTGTTTTTGGTGGTGGACAGCATAATGACCAAGCCAGGATACTTTGAATGAAGGAGCAGTGAGGTAGGATTCAAACCAGGTGTGCTCTCCCTGTGATGGCCATGGCGAGAGTCCAGACAGAAGGATTTCATGACTGACGGGGTCAGATGCAGCCGATAGGTCAAGAACAAGTACTGAGGACTTAGTTTTTGCTCTGGCTTCTTTTAAGGCTTCTGTCACAGTGGCTACTTCTGAACCCAGATTGGTTTGTATCAAGGAGGTTGTTTTGTGAAAGGTAGTTTGTGACCTGCTTAAAGACTGCCCTTTCAATGGTCTTAGATAAAGATGGGAGGAGACAGACCGGATGAAAGTTCTCCACCTGAGCCGGTGGGAGAGAGGCTTTCTTCAGCAGCTGTGTAACCTGATCGTGCTTGTATGAGGAAGGAAATGTACCTGATGGCCGTATAAGCTGTGGACTGGAATAAATTAGCGGAATGCCTGGGAAAGTCTTACCTGTATAATTCGATCTGTACTTTAATGTGCTGCATTTTAAACTCATTGTGGTGACAGGAGAAGTAATTACTTTTACACACTCTGCATACTTTTTAGGTTCTTTGCTCACATAAAGACATTCAATTTCCATTAAATTCAATTTCAGTTATCTCACAGCGCTTTTCAAAAGCAGGTCAGACTGATGTTATTTACAGAAGCCCGACAAACGTACAGACATACAGATGCGGTTGCTGTGATGCACTAATACTCACCAATGGGCTCGTTGTCGAAGTCTATCCTCACAGTGCCGGCTATAGCGTACGCAATGACGAGCAGCGGGGAAGCCAGGTAGTTAGCTCTGGTGTTGGGGTGGACTCGGCCCTCAAAGTTCCTGTTCCCTGAAAGGACACCTGCTGCAACCAGATCCCCCTGAAGCACAAATCAATTACACACAAGACAAGCTGCTGCAGATCAACAGGACATACAATGAGCCCTGAATAGACAATGGCCTGATGATGACTATAAAGGATGGTGAAGCTATTTCCCGTTGGACAGTAATATGTGTGGACACACAGATAACCGTCCACTGGGACAGCACCACTGTGTTAATATCTCAGTTAGTCATCCCTCACATCTGAATAGAACAGTTCCTCTCTTATCCATCACAGCCTGGAATCTGAGACAAACTTTGCGTCCCTTCTTTAACTGGTCTTCTGGAATAGTTCTACAAGCTTCTAGACAGACATCCCTGAGCTCTTCTCTGGATGTTGGCTGGAGTTCATCCCTCCATCAGAGCTGGTTTTCAGTCCACTTCTGGTGTTGTTTGGCAGAGCTCAGCCTTTCCTCCCTGTTTCCCTTCCTTCCTTAATTTCTGATGAGGCTTGGGCCAATAGGAGATGATCAGCTGGAGGTCCAGATGCAGCTCTCAGCTCCTGTTCAGCTCTTTGCTGGATCTGTCCCTCCTTCTTTCTTAAGGACATCACTTTAAAATGCTCTGCTGGAGAAAGTTTTTTTGGGCCCAACACCTTTGTCCTTCAGTCATCCAGTTTCCTTACTTTTTAAGGACATAATGCACACTGTGCTGAACCAAGTTTTCAGACAACAGCTCTTTAGGAATCAGCTTGTGGTTGCAAAAACCCTAGTCCCTGACTCTCAAACAGTGTTATATTTGGTAATTTTAACACATCAACTAAAGAAATGAGAACACTAAAGTATCTCCACAGATTTTTATATGTTAAGTGCCTTAGACAAGAGACCTTAAGCAAAGAAAAACACACAAAAAACACCTAAAAATGCTTGTTAGATATACATTTTCTTTTTCAGGTGAAAGAGTAAGGATGATCCCTGATACCTTGGTTATGGCTTCCACAACTGGTTCTGGTAGCGGTCCACTGTTGCCGATGCACGTCATGCATCCGTAGCCAACAACCTCGAATCTAACAGGACACATTGTTAACACTAATTATGCTGGGCCACACTTTAACATGGAGCGTAAGCAAACATCAGAGCCTACTTGTGTTTGGAGGAATTATCTGTATTATTTCTACAAATTACACAGACTCCCACTTCCCCCTGTGTGCTTTGAGATTACTTTGGGATAAATATGCATTTGTAGGCTCACCCCAGCTGACAGAGGTAGTCCATAACGCCGCTCTCTTTCAGGTAGTAGGTCACCACTCCGCTGCCGGGTGACAGGCTGGTCTTTATGTACGGCTTCACGCTCAGACCACATTCTATTGCTTTCTTTGCAAGGAGTCCTGACACAAGAACACTTGTCATTAATGGATTTAATTCATCAGAAGCAGTAAGAGTGGGCTTAAATGCACCCACCTGCTCCCAGCATGACGGAGGGGTTGCTGGTGTTGGTGCAGCTGGTGATGGCAGCGATGACCACCGAGCCATGGCTCAGCGCGAACTCTTTCCCACCAAAGTGGAAGGGGACCACAGCGCTGTGGCGTTCAGGGGCCACCTGGAAACCTTTGAACCCTTGCTGAAAAACATTTCAACCCAAACGTAAGCTTTACTTTATGAAATAACGAATGCCGTGTGGATTTCAAAGCATTTTGATTACGTCTGACGCTCAAACTAAGCACAGAGTGTGAATACGACCATGAGAACTTGTCTAAAACATAAAGGTTTGATCATGACGACAGCATTGTTTACTATCTGATCCAGTTTAGAACTGAAGCCAGATCAGTGCCTAGCCCTGTGCGTAGTCATTTTTGTGTAAAAGACGCAGAACATTCCTGGATTCAGTTTGATTGTGGATGTCCAGTAAACATTTAGGAGCACCAGGGCTTACCTTTGCTCCCAGGCATGATTCAAAGTCTGTTTTCATGTCAGAAACAGCCACTCTGTCCTGCGGCCTTTTGGGACCGCTGCAGCACGGAACAACCATGCTGAGGTCCAACTCAAAAACCTAAGGGGAAGGCAGACCACAATTTCATTCACAAAGCCACAATCATCCCTATTCTGTTAGCTGGTGAGCTTATATTATAAATAACTACAGGTTCATCATTTATAATTCCATGTGATCATTAAGTGCTAAAAAACATAAATGTCTATGATCAATAACCATTAGCAAAACTTTCACCAAAATGAATACATAGATTGGCCAAAACTGGGAAATAAGGTTGACCTTGGTGAAATCTGGATCCTGAGCAACATCATTGTAGTTTCTGAACATGCCAACCGCCTTCAGGTACTTTGTAATGTAAGCCAGCTTTTCTGGTTCTCGTCCTGGATCCAGACAGAGGGAATAAAACAAATCCATTAATTCTGATTCATTAGCAAGAAGAACAAATGACTATTTGAATTAATATTGAAAATGGTGCTGCACATGTGAAATTGAAGCTAAGCAACTATTTTATTTCCAGGATGGTTTGGATATAATTCCAAAACTTCCATTTAAAAAGGCCATTCCGAATGATGGCATTTTTCTAAAGAAAAAGTAGAGTATTTCAGAGGCTGAATGAAAACTTCAAACAAATGGAAATCTAGCATTTGCTAAATAAAAGAAGTACTCTGAATCCCAATCCGAGCCCCCGTGCAGCAGCTCCAGCTGCCCCCCCTACCCGTCTGCTCCAGGTACTGAATGCTGACATCGTCCACGGGGAAGAAGGCCGCCGTGGCCCCGTACTCCGGACACATATTGGCGATGGTGGCTCGGTCAGCGATGGACAGCTGGGCCACGCCGGGGCCGAAGAACTCCACGAACTTCCCCACGACCCCCACCTGCCGGAGGTCCTGCGGGGCGACGGGGGGGGAGGAGGTCGGGTCAGTGGGGGGGGGGCTGGAAAAGGGGCGGTACTGCTGCTACAGCGGGTGAAACGGCACCTTTGTGACGGTCAGGACGATGTCCGTGGATGTGATGAGCTCGTGGGGGCTCCCGTGGAGCTTGTAGCCCACCACCTCAGGCAGCACCATGCTGATTGGCTGACCCAGCATGACAGCCTCTGCTTCAATTCCACCCACACCTGAAGGTTTATAATCAGGTGTTTAAGCGGCCCAAATCATGGATCATTACAAATTAAAACATTTTAGAAAGCAGCACAATAATCCTCATGATGCGGAACTGGTTAAACTCATGCTTTAATTCAAACAACTGGAACTAGGAAACAAATTTCCTTTTTAAAGTTAACATCCAAAGAAGAGCTTTGGGATGTCATTAAAGAAACCTGAGGACTACTAAAAGAGAGGACACAAAGCTGGTTGGAGAGGGTTCGGGTTGTACTGGACAATAAAGGAGCTGATTGTTATATAAAGAAATGACGGATGGCAACTAAAGACTTTCCACTGTACTATTTATAAAAGTTTCCACATGTTACTCTTAATGACCTTTTACAGTTCACGTGTGGCTCATTTTATGTCTCGTTGATCAGAATACACTATAAAATAAGAAACTGACAGAAGAAACATGTCAGCATTTGGCTAACCTGGGACAGTTAGCATTTGAATAATTAAACTTCATCAAATAAATGTATGAATGAAGTTTGTTTGGGGAAAAAAATCCATGTTTATTGAGTGTCTTACCCCAGCCCAGAACCCCCAGGCCGTCGATCATAGTGGTGTGGGAGTCAGTGCCCACCAGACTGTCCGGGTAGAAAAAGCCATCGTTGTTAAACACCACCCGGGCCAGATACTCCAGGTTGACCTGGTGAACAATTCCTGAACCAGGAGGAATTATCCGCATGTTCTTGAAGGCTTTAGAACCCCACTGGGAGAAAAAAATATATAGGACACAATTGAACTTGTAATTAAGGCAGAATTAAGACTGAATTAGAAACAGTCCAGGTAGAAAGAAATATATTACCTACCTTTAAAAACTGGAATCTTTCCTTGTTGCGATCAAACTCCAAGTCCTGGTTTTTCTGAAGACTGTCAGATCTACCGAGAATAGAAACAATTTTTTAGAGACGAGCAGCATTTAACCCATCCTGACACAGAACAACACCTCTCTGTAAATGGATGATGCTACTGATGGTGGGGAAGGTCTAATGAGCCCACTCTTACTTCCTGTTAAAATCCACTTGGATGGAATGATCGATGACCAGGTCAGCGGGGCAAACTGGGTTAATTTTTTCCGGGTCACCTCCTAGTTTCACCACCGCGTCCCGCATAGCAGCGAAGTCCACCACAGCAGGAACGCCGCTGCAGAGAGGAAAAAAGGGAAAAGGCTGAGCTACTCCTCTTTTTTGTTCATTCATCACCCCTTTCTGTCATTGAAATAAACATTTTGTGGTTTGAAGATACATTACTAATAAATCAGACTTGTAAGCAAAGCCACTTTCTCTGTTCTTATTAGAAAGCAGCCAATCTGTAGTACCACTCTAATGAATGTGTAGTTTCTATTCATTTAGTTTTGTTTAGAGCTTTATTTAATCTTACAACCTGAAAGGAGGCAGTTCCAATATCCCTATGTGATTGACTTCCACCATGCCTCTGCTCGGATAAAATCAGGTGTGTCCTGAACACGTACGTGAAGTCTTGGAGGATGACACGGGCCGGCCTGAACGGCACCTCCACGGTTTGGGTCTGAGTCAGCTTCCAGTTGAGGATGCTTTCCACATCCGTGCGCTTGATGAGAAACCCGTCGCAGTTCCGGACGGCGGACTCCAGCAGGACCCGGATGGAGAAGGGCAGGCGGTCTGGGAAGCAGATGATTAACTGAAGCAATTACGACAGAGCCGTCAGATCAGAGGTTTGACGTCACTCTCCGCTCTTACCATATCTTGGATCTCCGAGCTTGGTCAAATTGTAAAATTGTTGCTTTGGATCCTCGGGGCAGAGAGGCTCGACTAGATGTTGAAAAGGATTTTCCATCGTTGCAGAAATCCTCCTCTTAGGATCTGTAGTAACCTGTTGAACACATGCATACTTTATAAGCCTGATGTAAACACTGGAAAGCACACAGCAAGAGCAAAGGGCGCTTAGTTCGACATGCAAAGGAAATTAAAACAAGTCCGGCGTTGTTCCGAACAGCAGAAGGCTCATCATGAGATCGACCCCAAAGCGTGCAGACGGATTAGTTTTGATTGCAGAATAAAGGCCAAAGGTCAGCGAACTCCTGCCTTCTTTTTTCAAACCTTACATAACCAACCAGACCTGTGGAACCAAGTGTATGCAAAGCTTCTCCTGGTCACAAACCAGTAGAAAAAGAACAGGTTTGGCCACATGGCATTTCTTTGAGAGGCATTTATCTGTGTCAAAGTTGAACTGATAAAAAAGAACTTTGACTGTGTCAGTACATCCTAAAAAGGCTGTATGTTCGAGGGCCAGGTTCAAAGTCACATTGTTATTTTCTACTCGAGTTTAGCTCCATAAACCATTACATCCAAATATGACACCTTACACTCCCAAGAAACTTTTATCTCATTCTCCTAAATAAAGTAACACCTTCTGGCAGTATATGACAATGTTACACCTTTAGTTGTAATTCAGTTTAGTGAATTAAACGAGCAGAAAAGAGGGATTAAACAGGCAATACATGGTGCTTTACTTTAGTTAATCCGACGCCTCATTCATATTTCCAACCATCCATTTTAACGTAGCCTAGCATTAGCTTTTTGGTCAAACATTAGCCAACATAGGCATGGCTTTATTTGAGAACAAGGATGGCAAAAACATTAGAAAATGTTATCCAGAACACTGTTGTGGAGGCTGCTTCTTGTTGTTAAACCATTAAAGTTGGTGAGTGTTAAATATATCAAACTTGGCTAATATACCTTACGATTTAGCATACGAACTCAAGGACAAGAACCAGCTTTTTCTGACATGCTAGCGGAAGTACATCATTGCTAATAACAGCTAATCAGAATAAATAGTTTTTTAACAACTTACTTTTTAAGCAGCAACGGAGACACCGCACAGCACGGTCTCCAGCTCAGACCGCTGCTGTCAACCTGCTAATCGGAGGAAAGAAATCTTTCCTGTTTCAGATGACGGCCCAACTTCCGGTTAGGTTTTTTTTCTCAGAATAAAAGCCCCTACCCAAATAAGAGCTGGTGTAAAAAACCATTAAGCCACCATTTTAGACACACATAAGAGATCATTTGGAATATTACTTTATCATCAATGTTTGCTATTATAAAAGTGAGATACTCACTTATAGAAGTGAGTACTTTTAAGTTACAAATATGGTAAATACAGAAAATGTCAACCTGTAAACAGTATATTACAATTACAACCCATGGTCTGGGGTTTTAATTTTGTTTGCAGCTCTGTAGTTGTCCGACCAGGATGTTATACTATGTATACTGTTTTTATGAATGTGCCTGAGGTTCTGTTGTGCCTCAGTTCAGGAGGACCTTTATCTGCTGGGGTTGGATTTCCAGGTAGATGAACAGAAAAAGAAACTTCCTCATTATGACCCACTATTTGTATTTGGAAGGCTGAGATATGGAGCTCGGTTGGAGGTGCAGTTGGGATGTCTCCAAATGGAGGCTGAGGAAAAGGGCCTGGCCAGAAGACGTGAGCTGGAGCTAGATGTCATGAAGCCACACATCTGTACAGCTGCTCCACCTTGAGCTGGACTCAGAGACCTGAGCACCACCTGTCTCCACTGAGCCTGAGCATCTTCCTCCATGTGAGTTCCCCAAAGCCACTGTATCATAGGAGAGAAATGGGACATGGCCAGGTGCATCCCATCCAGGCTAAAGTTGTTGCTGGTAATATGAAAGTATTGTACAATAAGGCGCGAGCCAAGTGGGTTTCTGGGAATGGTTATATATTACCTGAACTGTTGCAAAAGTTTATCTTCAGTTGTCCAACACTTAATTAATCTACTTAGTCCAAAGACTGATTATGTTTGGACAGATAGAATAAGATAGAACCAGCCTGTACTGTCCCACAAGAGTGGGATACAAGTGTAACAGCAGCAAAGGTGTATTTAATGTGTATGTGTATTGAAAACAACAGAGTGTTTAAATGTCTGTAAAAGCTCTGGTAAGCTTAGTAAAAGGGTTTCAGAATTTGTAAAAGTGCTTCCAAATTTGTTATGATGGTTTGCACCTCCTGGTCAGCATAGTACCATAGATTTCCCCCTCTTTTTCCTTTTTTAAATGTTAATTTAACAGATTTTTCATGAACAAAATCCCTCTAGAACAATATACTGTCATTACAATGTGACTTAAAAGGAGGAGAATAGGTGTTAAAGTTCCTCTCCTTGTAAATAAAACTGTCGGGGACGCAGCTCATCGTACACATTTATTGTGCTACACTTTGTGCAGGCCTATTCCTACCTGCTTCTGAATTGTAGCTTCTGGCTAGCCTAAAATGCCATTGATTGTTGTTTAACTCGTTTTCTCTCTTGCTGTTTTCCCGTCGGTTGATCTCCACATGCTCCACAGGTGTCAGACTTCAGCTCCCAGCAGCCGCCATCCTGCAGGTTAAAGAGGTTTCTCTGTTTTAAAACACCATTAGCAGACTAGGCAGCTCTTAATAATGTTTAGAGGATGCCAATTTTAATCAGACAGAGGACTAGAAGCTGACAAATGTCTAAAACCAGAAGGAAAGTGGCTGTCACCTACCAAGTTTAACATCCCTGCAAACAGCCGAGGCATATTCTTCTTTTAATGTTACTCTACAAAAATTAGTGACATCCAGTGGTGGAAGTTGGGACGACAAACAGCTCAAACTCTGTCCATCCACAGTTCAGTGCATGAATTTCAGTACATTGTATTGTCATTTAGAACAAATTACATCTAAGTTTATCTTTTTTAAGAAATGTGTTCATCAGTGATTTCCACCATAGAAAAGCAGTAATTACTCAGTTTTATTCCCTACTTAGCTGATGTGAATTTGTTTTATGTCTTCACATGTTTGTGTTCTTCATAAGGTTTATATTTAGGGTTAGGGTTAGGGATTTACACAGATATGCATTTTTTGCAGTAAACAAAGGATTTTGATTCACATATGTGTTCTTAAAATTCCTACAAAACAACATCCACAACAGCCGAATCCTCCACTTTGTTCTTCTATGTCCCAATAATTAGTCACTATCGTGGTCATTTGTGCAGTCTGGAAGAAACCCTTTGCCCTGCTGATGGTCAGTAAAGTAGCCACTAGGTTGTGCTGCAGCCCCCCAGAACGTAGTCAATCTGCTCTCAGTACTCTTATTACCAGTCAATATCCAACATGACAAGGATCATTAGCATAACTTTTTATGAAGGAGGCATTAGCGTTTGGTCATCAAAGACTGCTTTTTAAATTTAATGTTAACAATATGTGTGGTGCAAAAACAAGTACCGTGTGTGGGCCCCAGTTCTACAAATAGACACCGATTTTAATAAACCAGGATGACTTGAGGCATGGACTTGTACTTACAGTATATATACAGTGGGGGAAATAAGTATTTGACCCCTTGCTGATTTTGCAGGTTTGCCCACTTACAAAGAATGCTTATTTTTCCTCATCAGATGGTTATCAATTTTTATAAATTCATATGACGTGATGTTCTGGAATTTTCTTTGGGATTCTGGCTTTCACTGTTAGAACATACATATGATTAAAGTTATAGATCGTTGCATTCTTTGTAAGTGGGCAAACCGGCAAAATCAGCAAGGGGTCAAATACTTATTTCCCCCACTGTATATATATACAGGAAGTATTTAGTTATTTAGTCAGCTACTGATTGTGCAAGTTCTCCTACTTAGAAAGATGAGAAATCTGTAATGCTCATTGTGGCTACATGACGAGCAAAATGAGAATAAAAAAAATCAAGGAAATGACATTGGAGGGTTTTTACAGAATTTATATTTCAATTATGGTGGAAAATAACTATTTGGCCACCCAAAAAGAAGGAATATTCCTGGATCTAACAGAGCTGTGACTTCTCCTTTAAGAAGCTCTTCTGTCCTCCACTCGTTAGCTGTATTAATGGCACCTGCTGGAGTTCGTTATCTGGATCAGAAACACCTGTCCACAGCCTCAGCCCTGGCCCAGACCTGGACCAGGACACCAGGAAGAGAACTACAGACCTGCTCCAGGCTGGTGAGAGGGATTCTACGACAGGCGAACAGGTTGGTGAGAAAAAATCAACTGTGGGAGCAAATATAAGAGAATGGAAGATGTACACGACCACTGGACCCCAGCAAGGTCTCATCCTGTGGGGTCAGATTGATGAGAACGGTGGCTTTCACCTCGTCTCAAAAATCATCATTAAGGGCTTTAATCTAGACTATCAATTTTTCCCTCAATGTTTTACCCATTTTGACATAAGGACTTCAAAGGCAACTAACCTTTTTTGTCTTGAATTGTCAGCCAACTCATTGGGCTTCTCTGAGACGTCAGGATTTGTGTTAAGCAGAACATCCAACCACTAAAACTATCTTTTCTGTTCAGGAATTACAGGAAATTTTAAAATGAACAAGCTCATTGTAGAAATGTAGTCGTTGTGGTAACTACCAATAATGTTGAACTGTGGCAGAAAATCCCCACACTGACACATTTAAGTTCCAGGAAAGCTTAACGGGAAACAGCATATGGCTTTTGTGGATAAAACAGAAAATCATCAGGAGCACCTGCAGGGAGACGAATAGACGATCTAAGACTACAGCAACACAACTGTGGATACTGATGGTTAAAACCACAGCAGCTTTATGATTGACATTTTTAAAGGTGTGTGTGTGGTGTAAAATGCATTGTGTACGTCTGCCATGAATTGTGTTAAATGATGGGTCCAGAAGGCCACTGTTTTTGGCAAATGTATTCCTTTTATTCTCTCCACAATCGAGTAGTCCTAGTTAAGAGTTCTAGTTATGTGAGGAGGTACCAATCACCAAAAACCATCTGTCAATTTAAACCAAATTATCAATTAAAGTTGTACATTAATTTGACAGATTTACATCTTGTAAAATTGAACCACGTGATGGTGGGGTAATCTAACAAATGCTTCTAGACCAGCGGTGTCCCTCTCAAATTCAAGAATGAATTATTTCTCCTTTTCAAAGCAACATCTCATATTTTTGTCATTGCTGCAAAGGCTTATTTTGCACATTTACCCTATTTAATTAAATAGTAAATAGATTTTTTTTTTTATGTGTTGATTTAGCTGTTCTGCTCAGTCCCAAGAAAATCAAAATAATCACTTTTATGCATGAAAATGTAAACATAAATTGCATTATATAAAACTTTTCAGATATTTCTGTTTCTTTTTTGATGTGGCAACCTTTTCCATAAATAACTGACACACATAAGCACACTGGAGAACTCTCCCTTGAGGTCACTGTGGTCCTTCATCTCTAATGCTGAGGTTCTTTGACAGGTAAACTGAGTCATTCCAGTCCGATGCTAATATAAGTCCTCTGCCTCTATGCCTCATGCATGAACACCAATAACCCTGCAAATGAAATTCTGAGATGAAGCAAGCCTTTATCAAGCTGCAATTTAAGAAATTGTTTCAACTTCAACAGTTTAATGTCAACTACCTGTTTTTCATGTAAAACTGAAGCTTTCCTTTTACTACAATGGCTTACTGGATCTTTTTTTAAAAACCACAGGTTTCCATTTCATCAGCAAAGAAAACCTAAAACTCTGTTGACGCAAAGGATTCCTGGGATTTATCGAAACAAAAATAATCTAAAGTTGTGAAATATTACTTCAAAACCAACACAAAATTAACTAGGTTAAAAAAACAAATTAGCATAAATTAGAAGCTCCTTGCCAGCTAAATCATTTTGTTGGTTCAGATTATGAAAAATGGGTCAATGGGAAAAAAAAAAAATCGTAACGATTAGGATGGTAATGGTACAGCTTTAATTTGCTGTTAAAACATTAAAGAGCAAACAAAATGGACAAACGAAGAGTAGGCTCCCTGTGACCTCAAATGTGGGTTATATAGGGCCAGTAATCAATCATCCTAGTATGATATCCAAAGAAAAACAATCAATGACTCCCTACCAAGGAGACAAAGACTGTATTAAATTAAACGTTTGTGATACATGGA